TGTCACTTCTGTAAGAACACATACTGGGACGCAGAAATATGCATATGTAAAGTCTATATAGCAGTTCAAAGACTCAGCACACTGTGAGCCAAGGACAGGTAATCTGTGATGGCACATCCCAGCTCACAGGCTCATCATCGTCCTCTGAGTTAAAAAACAAACAAAAACAATCCTCAACTGCATCCAAAGTAGAAGCTGGTCTGGGGTGAGATGCCTTGCTTGGTAAATGCAGCAGTCGGTAGCACAGCAGAACAACGACTCCGACGAGCCTGTCCTGCCTTTAGAAGTTCAGTACAGGTGTCTATTGCGTCTTTTTAAGCAAATTACGTGAAAAAATACAGTTTTTCATGTGTGCAGAAGTACATGCTTATGCCTAGCCTCTGGACTGTTAGAAGTAAGCAGATTACTGGCCTACCACCTTTCAGCATCATCATCTCTTTGAAACTCGGTCAGTGGCCTTCACTCAAGCACTTTTTGCCCTGAAACACTTACAACAAGTGCAAATGGCTTGCAGGCCCTTAATGATTTATGCAGGCTGGCAAAATGTCACAAAAATAATGCCTCTGCTGGACATCGGGCACACTGCACATGGACTGTGTCCTACCTGCGTGACCTTCTCTGTGACGTTGTGTGTCCGGTCAATGAGTTTGCAGGGTGCTATGATGTCCATCTCCCCCGAGGGCAGAGCAATGAGTGGGTCCGGTTTGAAATCCACAAAATTGAGCGTGATCTGAGGGATTTTGGAAATGGTGCGGTACCGCATGAGGTCAGAGTCTGACGTGGAGTTCAGTATGTTCAACTTGCTGTTTACTGCACCTGGAAATATGCAAATGAAGTTCAACAAGCAGGTAAGAAAACCAGCAGGAAAACATTTGATCCCACCTGCGCCTTCTCACCGGTGCTGCTGCTGGCCGGCCGGATGCTTGGCCGCCGGTTCTTCCGATCCCATTCCGGCCTCATGGCCTCGATCTCGTCTACGGAGGAGGCGCGACGCATGCTGTGAAAGCTTTCTCGCGAGCGGCTGTGCGACAGAGAACAGTTGGAGGCCGAGCCTTCGGGGTTGAGGCTGAGCCGGTGGTGGGGTGCTACGCAGGGTGTGGAATGGGTGAGGGGACCCACCAGGTGGGCTCCGTGAGTTTGATGTGGTGGAACGGCTACTGGAGGCTCAGAGCACAATAAGGTGCGTTGGTCTTCCTGGCGGTCTTCGGGCCAACTCTGTAGCGCTGACCTGGGAAACACAAACAACGAATATTCCTGGTAATCAGCCAGGACACTGGACATTGTTGACTGAAGTCAAAGAATTTCACAATGAGCTCAAAAAGGCCATAAACACGAGAGATGAATCCCTGTGACTGGAGTTAGCAGAGGTGATGAGGCACAGACAGCTGGCAGCTCTGCAGCCAGTGTCTGCAGCAACATGTAGCTTAAAGCTGAAATTAACTTTAGAGTGATTTTAGAATGTGAACATGTTCATCTCTGCAGTAATGTTGAAATCAAGCATCTACCTGCTTCCACTCAGCTTCTCCTGGTGATTTGGTGGCAGTGGGGGGAGGGGCAGAAATTCCCCCAGACCTAAGGACTCGGGGCTACGGTGGTCCTCTGGGTGTAGCGACACCGGCGTTGCTGTGGGGATGTGTCCGGCCTCTGCGTCGTCCAGAGAAGCTTTACTGTTGGACAGGGAGCGAAGCAGGGGCAGACGCAGCTTGAAGCCTCGTGGGCGACCTGGTGGTGAGACGGAGGAGGGATAAGACTATTAACCTGGAGAGTGACAGGTGCACCTCCAATATGGCAGAAATGGGTATTATATTAGAATAGTGAGACAAGCACAAACAGCTGGAGCATGTTTTCAGTGCTAGGACAGAGAAAGAGCTAAACATGCATCAGCCTTCAGAATAAAGCTGCAAAACCAATCGACCAGAATGCAGGGGCAGCAACTCGGATTAAAATGTGGGCTTAGCCACAAAGTTATGAGATACTTGATTCCGGATATTGCTGTGTCCTATTCCAGATGCTGCTCCCCTGGGTTATCCCTCTAGGACATTAAGAGCATAGATTGACAGCTACATTTAACACAAATATTCAGGATTTACAAGAACAAAAGCATCTAATAATAGCAGGACCACCTGGTCTATCTGGAAGGCAGAATGAACCAGGTGAAGCAAAGTGAGCATCACGTCCAATTTGGATTAAAAAACATGGGAATTAAATAAGCAGCAATACATCCCGAAAATGTTCCACACTGAGCCACAAACGACACTCACTCTACTTATACCTCACTAAACCAAAGAGAAAACACAATCAGCTGTGTGGAGCACGCTGTCTCATTGTGCATCACAGGCCACATACACAACATTGTGATATTAGGGGGGACACACAAGCGAAGCTGCCCTTTCTGTTCAACTACAAATTTAGCTGAGACACCAAAATATAAGAAAACAGTTTTAATTTTTCCACATGATAAACAAACGCTGCTGCAGTGCAAGAAATGTGTCAGTGTGATTCTCTGGACTTAAACTGTAAGAAAAAATGGTGAAATGAAAGAAAAAGTCGTGGTAGCTCATCACCCCGACTGTACTGCAGTTACAGAGTAACATTAATATTTTTTACTTCCCAAAGGGTCACACCGTCACACTTTCTGTCTAGTGGGCCAGATTTGAGTTTTTGCTGGGCCAATTCTGGCCCAGGGCCTTATGTTTGACACCGGTGGTGTAATAACAGAAACGACATTCACATAAGGGCGTCAGGGATGCTTTTCTTGTCTTTGTGTAAACGGTGACGTTACAGGAAAAGCACAGAGAAGAACAGACAAACATCAAACGTTGCGCTCGTGGTTACCTGTGACGAGCCAGGTGGGCAGGCGGTGGTTCAGCTCCTGTTTGTGGTCTCGGAGAGATTCGTCTGTCATGACCTCGAAATTGAGGATGAACATGATCACCACGCCATCCTCGTTCTTCACTGGCACCACATCCACCATACACAGGATGCACTGGCCTGCAGGGGGCAGAGCAGCAGATGGGGCAGGTTACGATGGCATGCACAGGCAGCGAGGCTGGGTTTAAAACTTGATTTCAAATTACTTTACAGAGGTGGTGTTACTGGAGCAACATCAAAGCACAGATAAGAGCAGAATTCAGTCAGAGTTCAAGCTTTGTGTAATGACTTTGTGAACGTCTACATAATCAGTTTGTTGAATCGTGTGAGCGTCTCAAATGCATCCGTGCATCTCACACTGTGAATTACAAAGGCCTGCTTTCACACACACACTCAAATATACTAAAGTACACGGTTCTCTCTCCTTATTAAATGTGCATCTGTGTTTAATCAGCTCACACACCATCTTCCATACGAGGCTAATCTGCCACACGAGTGCTAAAACAGCTAAGTAAGCGTGAAATGAAACCACACACAGGAGAGCGTCGCACAAACACAAAATAAGCTGCTATTCTGCTTTTGACACCATGAATGTGAGCTTGCAATTGCATTAACATGCATGTATACACACAGCAGCATCGTCATCATCCTCATCAGCAGCGTGATGTAAAATGATGATCTGACTGAAAGAAGTGAAGACAAAACTGTTGCAACATAGTATCAAAGTGGAGGAAATTCCAGGACATCTATTACACACATTCTGTGTACACAGTGAAATCTGTGAGTTTCCTTCTGTCCTTGAAAATGAGCAGAAACTCGACTCAAGTATCAGTCTGGCTAACGAATCTTATCTCCAAGCAGACATCCCGAACATGACAGCACATAATACAAAATTACACATGAAAAACATTCTGAACTGAGTCAAACATATCAGTCCATCATATATGTAAATAAGGTTGTTCCACTTGGTTATTAAGAAAAGCTCAACCACACATATAAGATACTGGTTACTGAATTATGTGGCAAATGAGCACTGGGCCCCTATTCAAAGAAGATCATGAGATGCACACTGAAAATATAACTGCAAAATATTCCAAAAACTCCAAATACATGATACATAGATGCATGCCATGATTCACACAGTACAGAAAGTGGACATGTGAACTGTTTTTTCTTTTCATGTTGAACAGAAAGGATTTAATCCTATAAATTTACTCTCAAATATTCTTGTTTTACTGAAAATGATCCATGAAGTATGTCCTCCTGTTGCACGCTGTTTAAATACATTTTAATCTGTTTTTCTTGACATTGTGATTCCAAACAGTGAAATGCATCCAGTCTGCAACATCAACTTAAAGTGCACGAGCGTTTTGAGAACTTAAGCTTTTTAGTTTTGCACCGTAATCCTTCTTTTCTTATCTGTCGCCTTTAAACATGGACGCCAAACAAAGTTTCTTTCAAATTGCCTCTCATACCTGATCTGCCCGTCTGCAACTTACCTGCAGAGTGATGGTCAGTGAGCACCCTCGCAAACGGAAGCTGTGGCAGTTTTCGCAATATGGAGCACTTGGGTATTCCGTGCAACCCAACGTGCAGGATCTACTGCATGCCTGCCTGACCCACCCACCAGCCTGCCATTCATCTCACATCATTGCTGGAGAGTGGGGCGAAATCCGATTGGACAACAGCATAATCCCAACACAGGAGGGGAAAAAATATGAAACCCAAGGGAAAGTAGAGGATTACACCATCTGGCCATATCAGCGACGCATATAAACATGTGCCAGTTTAAATGCGTGCTTATATGTGCACATGTGTATAGATGACCAGGCTGATGTTCATTCATAAGTCACTGGGTCGTGTCCATTCATGTCATTAACAGCGTTCCCTGTGCATTTGTAGCTTTTTTCTTCTTCTCTTTTTTTAATCGCTGAAGGTGTTGGAGCATCACCCCCAAAGCTGCTTTACAAAGCTCTGCATCCACGTGGCAAGGACAACGTGCACACAATCTAGCCATTTGAAAGCTTTGCTTTCCTCCGCAAGCGACTGTCCCGTGAAAAAGTGAGTGAGAAGTAAAAGATATTGCAGAGAATATGTCTGAGAAGATCTTTCAATAATGCTTCAGCTATTAAGTAATTTGAACTCTTTTATTATTTTTCTGAGTTAAATATGAACAATCATTCATATTCATTCACTGAACTGATGAAGAAACAGGATGGAGTGTGTCTGTGTTCGGGACTGGCACTGGGAGTGCACCAGCTTGGGTTTGTGTCTCCTCCAGCAGATTCTTTCAAAAATACTTGAAATTATAATATTATCAACAGATTAATGTGGATTAAATCTTTCCCTCACTGATATAATTACATTAGAGACATTAATAATCCGAGGACTAGCTCCTAATCTAATAGGAAATCATTACATGTCCCATGTTTGAGTCAGGATCATTCCTGTATACATGGGAACACTTTGGAAAGCTGGAAAGTTTGTGGGTGACAGATTTAGTAATATTTACTAATATGTACACTAACTAACATGAATGCACGCATGCACTGAAGTACAAAAGCAACCTGGACTCCCACTCTGGTTGCAGGGCCTCCTCATTAACACCCAGCAGGAAGCCACTGTGTTATTACTGTCTTAGCTGTTCCCAGGACGGCGCTCTTCTGGACAGAGATCTCCGATGTTGTTCCCGGGATCTGCTGGAGCCACTCGCCTAGCTTGGGAGTCACCGCACCCAGTGCTCCAATTACCACGGGGACCACCGTTACTTTCACCCTCCACATCCTCTCCAGCTTCTTCAGAAGTACCCCAGCATTGGTACTTTTTAAGCTTCTCGTGTTCCTTCTTCCTGATGTTGCTGTCATTCGGAATCACTACATTCCGAATGACAGCAACATCAGGAAGATATATATCTATATGTACATAGCGCAAACCACTGCAACAGTTGCCTCAAGGCGCTTCGACTGTAAGGTAGTAACTCCATAGCATACAAGTGAAAACCCTGAGAATCACATGATCCCCATGAGTAGGCACGGGGCGACCACAAGAAGGAAAAGCTGCCTTTAACAGGAAGAAAGCTGGATGATTGAGCATGCATCAAAATGGGAATATGTTACCTTTCAAATCAAGTTACAGCTATTCTGTCCCTAGAAGTTGCTCTCTTATAAGATTTCTATTTGGATTTGCCACATAGGTGAAATTTCCTTCTGACGGGTTACATGTGACCTTACTCTAAGCCTATAAACCCAACCTGTAACAGGTGACTGTCCACCTGGTGGACGCTGACAGGTTTCATTGCTGTTTAAGGGTTTAGAAAATGTTAGGGGTAGAATCCGTGTGTGGTTAGGCACTCGGTGATGGTTTACATTAAACAGCAGATGCATTACAGCAGCGACAGATTACCACAGATATAGGTCTACATGTGCCCTACATTTTTCAGCGTGGTGCAAATGGAGGATTACGCCTACGTACTTCAGGAACATCAGACCTTTCTTAATGTTGACCCTCATACGTCTCCGTCTACTGTGAAAGATTTCCTCCGAGAGCATCTGAAACGAGCTGAGCTCTGAGGTTAACGGGGCAAATGCCATTTCATCTAAATGCTCCGCCTGGATTTATTCCAATTCAACATGTTCCAGCTGATAATCTGATTCACCGTTGCTGATTTACAAAGCTCTAGGAGATTATTACAATGCACTAAACACATAAAAAAGCAAACTGCACATGGCAGCCCCAGGGATAGCCCAGCATCATACACAGCAGTGTAGACAACTACAAGGACAAACACTGTGAAATATAACATTTAAAAGCTTACTTGGATTTATTAATCCGATGGATTATTTATCAATAAGTGAGAAAATAGTTCCTACCAATATTCAGAAAGGTTTTGGGGGACAAATTAGAAACGTATCCTTCCTTGTAAAGATGAATTCAATTCAATTATATGGAACCAAATCACAAAAACAGCTGCCTCACGGTGGTTTGTACTGGAAGATATACGAGCCCCTACAAGCATGCACTGGTGACAGCGGGACAGCATGAACACAACTGATCTCTACAATGTATCCACTGCCAAAAAGTACCAAAAATGACTCAAGTGGTTTAGATTTATGTTTCCATAAACCTTTCGCTATGGCGATCTCCCACATGTGCGTACAGGTAGTCGACCAGCACTGACTGGTACGGACTTGGAGCGTAGTGGATCCTGTGGTGAAAACCTTGAAACATTAACAGTGACTGTGTCATTACTCTTATTAATAATCCAGAGAAATACATGCACATAATGGACGAAATGAGAAAACAATCAAAAATAGATGTAATGAAATGAAGCAAATGATTTATTTCCCCATTTGTATTCGCCATGCACACAGGATACTCATTTAATCATCATGACTGACGGCGTGGCATACAGTACTCTTCCCTGATAGGCTTAGAGGGACAAGGTAGGAAGGATTAACTGCTGAGGAAGATCTTTTTTCCAGCTTAGTAGGAGATGACAGAGGATTGGAGGACAGTAAACAGAGATTAGGCTGCCCCAAAGTAATCAGATGTGAAAACACACCTAACTGCGAAGGCCAACGCTTCCTTCAATGTTATAACTGCACTGAGTTGGATTAGAGGTCAGGGTCACTCCCGCTGCTGCGGAGCCCATCAGGCAGCTTCTCCCTTCTGTGCTGGGTGAAGGCAGTGATGAATGTATTTATTTCTTTATGAAACACTGCTCTCCGACATAACAAACGTATGAACTCCTCTGTACTACCACTGAATGCTGAAAGCACAGCCATGTAAGTTCTACACCTGCACTATCATTGGGACTTCAATGTAAAGTTCTGCATTGGCGCCTCCTACTGGACGACAGCTGCCTCTACACACAGCACAGCGCAGACGTCACGTATCCCTGTGTGCGTTTGTAGGAATTATGCTGACTGAACTCTAAACAGTGAGGTGCATCCATTTAAGCAGCTTTGGCTCTCACACTTCTTTTCTTTTGTGTTCTTTTGAAATAAAATAAATATTTGATTCTAGCGATTTTTCTAAAAAATATTGCTGTTACATCAAAAAGATTTACAGATGCCACGGGCAGTATATTTTATTTTGCATAAAAGAAGCATGGAAGCACG